GATATTATTATAATAAAAAACGGTCCGCGTTTGCGTTTGTCGCGCGTTTCGTATTCGTACGCGGCCGCATACTGTCGTACGCATTATAATATTTTAGGCGTGCGTGTGCGCGCGCGGCGCGCCGTGGAACTGCGCTCGTGTTTCGGACGTCGGGCCGGGCGGACGTATCCGAAACCGCCTGAACGTGAAATCGAATTCGTGTTGCGCCGCGGCGGGTAACGGATATCACGCGCGTACGCCGCCCGTAATAATATGCGCGCGCGCGCGGTACACGGCCGAAGACCCGCCAGCTTTTATCGGTACGCGCGGAGGATTAAAAACCACTCGGTGCTCGGTGGACCGATTGTCGTCGTCGTCGTCGTCGTTGTAAAACGCGATCGCGTACACTCCTCGCCAGCACCGGATTATATATTATATTATTACGGCGTTTGTTCGTTGGTCCGCGTTTACGGTCGCAACGTACGCGACGTTATTAAATCGGAATCGCGAGCGCGCGCGACCGTCATCCCGTTTTGATCGATCACCGCGCCGCGGACCCATTATCTTTCGTACGAGCATAATAGTAGCAGTAGTGGTAGTAGTAGTGGTGGTGGTGGTTGTAGTAGTAGTAGTAGTAGTAGTAGTATTACGTTATCGTGTGTTTTTATGCAAATCGGCCGCGTTTGAATTGTCGTCCGCGGTAAAATATGCACGGGCATAATAACGTCGGTGCGGCCGGGCGGGCGCGCGCAACAATTTAACGTTATTGTCGGCGTTCGTTCGTCGCAGGTTCGCGCGGTCCACCGTAACGCGCGCCCGTGCAACATAAACGCGCACGCGGACGGCGGCCGCCGGCGACACCGTAGATACCGTTCGGCCGACCGTGAGCCGTACGTTATTGTACGTTTTACGCGGGCGGGATTTACGAAAAAAAAAAAAAAACAAAACCGCGACCGCGCAATACGTTTCTGTGCGCCGCGACCGACGATACCGGTACTGGACACCGCGTGTGCCGACCGTCACGCCGTTTGTACCGGGGTGAAAATATCCTCGGTTCGAGCGTAACGCGCGCGTGCTTGTCCGGATTTTCGTCCGGGGACGCGGGCCGCAGAAACAGCGCAGCGTGCCCCGAGAACCGCGCACCAATCCGTCTTTAGTGTCTGCGCGCGCCGAAGAGTGTATTGATTTAACTGTACAGGACGTGTGCTTCTCTTCTCTTTTTTTTCTGTTTTCCTGTCTGTTAATAACTTTTCTACCGGAAATATCGCGCCGATTTTCGAGTGCGTAGCGTTTTTCCTGAAAGAAAATCGTATCCGGCGGCCGCGTCATTGCGGGGGTGATCGTTTTGGATTTTTCTCGTAGTTTTCTTATGATCATTAAGACCAAAAATTTGGAAAAACAAGACGATTCACGGCACTATATTTTTTGCTGCGTTAGATGTGATTGATTTTGTTTAAATTGTATATAAAATCCGATCCCTGCTCATAATTTATCGTTCATAGTTGCGTTGAGGACATGAAATATTGTGGACAATCGGGTCGACCGTCTTAAGTTGACTTCTTTACGCGACAATGGATTCAAAACCAATTATTCTCGAAGAGAATACAAAAACATTGAGCGCTTATCAATAATTATATTATAATATGTTATTTTACACGACGTGCGGCGCAGTATAAAATAAAAAATATTTAATAATTATATATCCTATACACACTGTACATCTGTAATTAACCTAACCGTGTGACGTATACTATACCGTACGTGTACGCGTCAACAGTCGGTAAGGGTGTGGGGGAGAGAAGGTGGAGGGGGCACGGCGGGCGTTTATATCGAGTAGTGTAGCCGGACGATCGCGTGTTGTATTTCATTGTTTTTTTTTTTTTTTTTCGTATAATACTATAGCTGCTACAGTGTACACCGCAACTGCGTCGACGACGAAAGAAACGCGCGAGAACGTCAATTTCCATCGCGATATAGATTCTGTGTATAGTTTATTTCGTTTTTTTTCTCCCTCGCACACACACACACACACACACACACACACACACACACACGTATACCTGTAATGCTATAATGATATCCTTATTACACGCTGCAGAAGCAGTAGTATAGTAATAATATAGGTATATTATAATACTCTTATTATTGTGTACGGGTACGTCGTCGTCGGTAATTCGACCGTATAGCTTCTGGTTTCCGTCGGTCGCGCGGAGAACCGGCTTCTGCGGCCGGGTATATTATAAATGGGCAATACACCCGGGTACTCGGGGGCAAATTCGGTTTCCAATGATATAATATAAATAATAATAATAATAATAATATTTTCTATTCTCTCGGCTCGCGTACCTATAATAATGTAACCTACAATATTTCGACGCATACCTGTATTTAATTACACGGCCGTTTCCATTCTGACGAGTATACATTATTATTGTGTATACTCACTGTATTAGTCGTCGTAGTCCTATAATAGGTATCTATATACACGCCAACGCTGTTTTTTTTTTTTTTTTGTAATATTATTATTTTGTGTTATATATATAAATGTATATTACAGAACGCCCGAGAGACCTTCGAAACAACAACAACAACCAAAAATAAAAAAAAAAAAAGCTATATACATATATACGTGTATTATCGTTGAACAAATAATAATGATATAGGTACCTACACGGTGTGCCAGCGGAAACACGCGCAGTTTGGCTACTCGTATTATAATATTTTACGCGCACGTCTCGTATTGTAAGACGACGGCAGTCGGACTAATTTTCTTTCGATTGGTTTTTCAACATATTATACGTATTATTTTTATTTTTTTATTTTACTTTTTATTTGTTACGGACACAACAAGTTTTCGCGTTATACCGAATTCCTCGAATTTGCCGTAATCGAGTTTTCCGTTACAGTACCCGCACATCAGCGCATCACAACTACCCCGCACTATCCTACGTATCCTTGTAGCGCGGATAGAACACGATTCTGTACGGCCCTTATCAGAGAACGGTCAAGTGCGCATTTTAAGGCACACGATTCCGTACGGTTTGTACCTAAGATTTTAGTGCAATGTTGCCGGATTTCCATAAAGTTACGTAGGTATATTTGACTATTTGACTTAGTTATAGCGTTTGACGTAGGGTATTCCTAATCATTGATTAAATTAAAGTTATTTTTAATCAATTGTAGTAACATTTATGTAACGTACAACGGCGATACAATCGTTATGTATCAAACACGTTTTTATTGTAATTAATTATGTGGCGGAATATTACATTCAGCTCTATACAATTAATCGTTTACAAAATGGCTATTATATACCCGTAGTTTACTTTTTCTCGTCTGAAAAATCCAAACAAACCTACATTGACATGTGGTTATTTCTTCAGGAGTTAAGTGAAAAACTAATTTTATTTTATAGTATAGTTTCTAGTTAGCAAAAAAAACGTTACACAATTTATACTGTTTAATTCAAATGACGAATTTTTAACTTTGACTTTTTCAAGTTCATCGATTTTTTTTTTGTAACGTCAAAATATTATTTAAGAAAATTAAACGAATTGAGCAATTGCCACTAATAATTAATAAATATAAATGGCAACACTGCTCAAAAAATCGTACGGAATCGTGTTGTTTTTGGGGTTACATTGTTGGATCAAAATCAAACGGAACCGTGTTCCCAAAAAGGTAAAACGTACGGAATAGTGCTTTACCGTGTAACGCTGGGTAACTCAAAGGACATTTAGGAAATGCTTGCAGGACTACTCGGGGTATCCTTCAAAGAGTCCTCGTAAAGGAGTCCCCCACATAGGATAGCCATTGACTATACAACAGAATCTCCAGTGCTACAAAAACAACGCGAAAAACGTTATTTAATATTAAAAAAATATAAAACAAAATTATTTCAAAATATTGTATTTTGATCAATAACAGTAAATTATAAATATTTTCTAATGAATGACCGTTAACCATGTTTCGAACCCTTTTGCGTATTGAAATAAATACATTTAAAACACAATATTCCATAAATTATAATAGTAATTATCTTATACCGACGGTTCCCTTTTAGCGTTTTCGCCCTTTGTACGTAACGAAAATCAATAATCGAGGTACCGTTTTAAAGATCGCAGAGTTCTCCTCTACTGACGAACTGCTAATTTAGAACACTGTACGTTATATTATGAATAATATTATTATTATAACCAAAACCGTCGAGTTTTTGTTGTACGCATATATTATGCATACGTTTCTTTTATTCGTCCGAAGGGTACCCCTGCTGTTTATGTGCCTATCAATAATTCAAAAACTAAAAAGTTTTTAGCGATCGGGGAAGAACGATTTTATCTGTTGTTTTTTTTTTTTTGTTTGTTTGTTTCGTTAAAGGGGGCGGGCGCGAGCGAAACGGGCAGCACTCGAACCGCGTTAAACATCGCCGCGGCTCCCTTATTATCCCGATAAAAGCCGTCCGAGCGGCCGCTCACGTTTGTATGGGTGCCGCGCGGTTACTTCTTACAAAACGACAATGGCGCGGCGGCGTGAGAAACAGCCGACTGTCGAAACCGTTCGCGGCCCGCAGACGTCGTTTGTTATCAAGCGTCCCAGGTATACGGCGGCCGTAGTCCTGCGTCACGGCCGCGCGGTGGTGTGACGAAAACGGAATAATTTGAATATCAATCCGCTGGACGTGAGCCGTGAATCGGCCGTGCGACTTTTTACACGGCCCGCGCACAATACGAGTGGTTATAATACGATTTTCGTATAATAATATGACCGACGACGGGGGCCCGGTTGACGCCCGTGTGTGCGTGCGCGCGCGCGCGCGTGTGTATTAATTTTATACGCGCGCTATTGTGGCCACTCGCAATCGGTCTTCGGTCCCCCACCCCCCCGGCCCGCGCCGTTTTTTAACACGCACAATAATAACACAACCGGGGTGCATAGGTGTACTCGTTAAAAAAAATGTACCCGCCGTACAAACGCACGGCGTAATATAATGTCCCGGGACGATAATAACGCGGGCGGCGGGCTTATGACAATAACGACGCTACAATGACGTTGTGCGCTGCGCAGTCGTCGTCGTAACCGTCGCCGCGGACAGGTGACGCGCCTCGGTCCGGTCGCATTCCGCCCGTGTCCAAACAACACGGCGGATTAACGTCGTCGCGTCTGCCGGATGCCGTCCCGTTCCACCCGTACGGGTCGGGTGACACATCGCCGCCGTCGTCGCGGACATCGATCACACGCACGCACGCGGCGGCGTCTTTGTTACTCATCGCCGGCGGCGTTTGCCGCGCGGGGCGACGGGACAACGTGACGAAATTACCGTCACCGTTGTTATAATATTATTTTGCATCCGTCAGGCCCGAGGTCCGGCCGGGGTAAACCGAACCCACCCGCTATTTACGCAATATTATTACGGTGTACGTGCACGGCGGTGCCGGTTTTTTTCCGAACGACGGGTCCGCCGGGCCGCCGTATAGATTTGTTTCACGCCGTCTTATTCGTTGCAGTATATTGTTCACACCTACCGGACAAGGTGATTTTTTTATTTTTCCGACCCGAACCCCATTCGTATAATACAATAACGTATTATTGTTACGTTTTTAAATTAGGATTTTCATTTTTTGTAAAGGACCGTGCATAACCGTTATAAAGACTATACCTGCGTATTGTAGTATAATTTTTCTGATACTCGGGGGAAGGGGGTTTACACCGACAATGTTGGAACACCAGACATCCGATAAAGACGACCTACCGACAAAGTTCTCATGTGCGTAAATATCTGCCGTAGTTTAGGGGTTGTTCAAGCTAGAGGTATATGTTTGCGACACGTATATAAATCGATGCTATAATGATAACAAATTATCAAACGGCAATATAACTGCAATGGTGAAAATAATAATTTTAAAAATGCACACAAAAGATAATAAGAACAGTTTTACAGTAACGACCACATAAATAAGTTACCGCGCGTTCAATGTCCCTTCAACCCTACCTTCCGGGTGTCCCCTAATATTATAGGTCACCGTAGAAGAAAACGAGATGAATACATAATCGAAATAGCGTACCTCGATTTACGTAGGTACATTAATTTACAGCCGGAAATAGGAGTTCGACAATCCATTAATATTTTGAAGATTCGCCGACGACCGTCCCTCTTCAGACGTGAATCGAAATATTATTGTATACTTCGATAATAATTCGGTTACACGATTATAAGTGTATTATTTTGTAAAGTTCTCGTTGAATTTAATTCAAATATGTTGTGTCGCGGAGTTCGTAATAATAATATTATAAATTATAAAAGTATCGGACAAAAAAAAATAAAATCGTAATTATTATAATATTATATTCTCTCTATAATTAAAAAACAACAATTCGCACAATGGGTAGGCCAACCGTTGCAGGTTGGAAGTTTTGACGGTATAGCATATTTGATAATTCAGTTTAAATTCTACTGGAAACAATTAAATTACTAATCGTTACAATAAAAAAAAAACTATTCTTAGTGGAGTTCATTCATTTGAATCAATCAAATCAATTGAATCAATTTATTGGTCAAAGTAAATCAGAAATCAACAACAAATAATAAAATCACCATTTGATGTTAATTTTTTTTAGATTTTTAGATTCTTGGCAAAGCGAGGAATTTATTGGTTTTACAGCGATATGGTTTTTTTTTTCGTTTCAGTAAAAAAACATTTTCAACCTGAATTTTTGTTGAAATCAAAAACTTTATAAGAACACTTTTGTAGCGTTTTTGTCTTTCAATCAAATTGGGGCATTGTGGTTAAGAACATTTTGATTATCCTTGTATAGTTTTCTTAATAAATCGGAAAAACTGACTTTTTTGACTGACTTAATTTTTGATGATTTCTGAGTTACTTTGACAACAAAGGAATAAGTACTACTAATAACACTCTTCTCAGAATCGTTTTTCATTAGTATTGGTTTATCGTTGTGTACAGATATGAATTTAATTACTCCATGTAACCTCTTTTCTAATTTCTCTCTTAAAACAGTAGTCGCACACCTATCAGCCGTATTACCCTTTTTTTTCGTTCTTGAAAAACAATTTGTAATCTAGAAACATATTAGGAATATAAAATAATAAATTACTGTCACCGAATGAAAATCGCGCATCTATACAACGTGGGAAAATCACAAAATTTGTATACTATCCAGTTCCGAAATAGAAAAAATATATCTTATAGTAAGTAAAACTATAATGGCTTCTTCGCTAATATACTACTCATCGGAATCGAATAAAAACGTTAAAAAACAATTCGAATTGATATTTTTGTTCTAAAAACAAAACGGTTTTTGTGCGGTGTACACACGTGACATCGTGTGTTAAACAGCAATAAAAAAATACGCAGTATATAAATCATATTAATAAAAAAATATTATAATAATTTGAAATCAATAAAAAACATTTGGACGAAAAAAATAATAAATCCAAACCATATATTATAATATATTTATAAAAGGAAATATTTTCGTATAATTTAATAATAAACAAGTGGCATAAATAAAATAATATATAATACGCGGTCAAAACGATTTATGTGTAGAATATTAGGAATACGAAAATTAAAATATTACACCTAATACCATTCCTACGTTTTCAATATACATATATTTTTTTTGTCACGCCATAATACACGAGACATAGTATGAATTCAACAACTGTGTTAACAAAGCCTGCAGCTATACCAGAGTGATAAACGTATAATGATTTCGGGAAGTATTAATATTTTTTGGAACTCGTTTTTTTTTTTTTTTTAGAAAACGTAAGGAACACAAGCAGATATAAATGATGTTATATTACCGTTATTTATTGTTGCCCTTTTCGGCGGTGGAACCATCACCATAGGAAACTCATTTTTGATTTTCAAATAGCAACCTACATTAAAAAATGCCATATTAATAGATAAAGTTTTAGTTAATGTACAGCTACACGTTGACGAGATGTACCAGTGGAGTATCTGTGTCTTCAATTAGTATTAATGCAATTCGTTATGCATAGTTTGTTATTTAAAAATCGAAAATGATTTCACCCATCATAGTAAGAATAATAATAAAAATTAAAAATCAAAAATAACGGCGCTGTAACGTTTTATCTGTATCTCTCGATATAATGAGTGGCTCACGTTATCCCAATCGCCCTATATATATATATACTATGGGATGTATGAAATTGTTATAATATTATTAATTGATAAATATATTATAATATATAAATACAGCGAGCAGTGTACCCACGGGGAGGGATGCGTGGTTGAAACCGTTGTCGCTACGTACCTAAATGCGAGTGAAATAGCCCGCCCCACTATCATGAAATAATCCTGGCCGTGCATCTGTACATAGTAATTGTGTCTTTGTGTAATAACAATAAGGAGTTTCGTCGTAAAAGGAAAGAAAAAAAATTTGAAAATTTCGTGTTCCAAAGTTATCGTTGCGGAATCCGCTGTCCGGTTGATTAGTTGATTTTCTACAGGTACCGCTAAACTATAATAACCTCTTGCTGCGTATATTTTCGGATTAATAGCGTATCGAATCGACATTAATGGCATTTTCGTGGAAATAAAAACGATATGCACGCGGTACAATGATTAAACCGATTAACCGGTAAAACGTGTAAACTGACAAAATAATAATCAAAATAAAATTTCTAATTCGAAAATGTTGTTTTCGAAACGTATTATTATTAGGTTTTTTTTTTTTTTTTTTCTATGAATAAAGGTATACTTAAAATATAACGACTGACATAATATTAGGTATTTATTCCATGTCACGCGCGGTATAAACTCGAAAAATCAAAAGAATCTGCAATCGCACAGGCTCGTCCATCATCATTATTATTATTATAATATTTGGGAAATAACTTTCAGCGTAATTTGGAAAATTTCGCGGTTTATACATCGCATCGTTGAATTCCGCGTCGAGAGTTTTAAACATTATCAATAATATTAATATTATTTGTATAGGTCTTTTCTACGTTAATTTCTGTAAAGCATTAATTGATTAATTGTGTGTGTATACTGTGTACGTTTTATACATTATCAGCAATTTTAGTGTAAAATTATCTCGATAGTTCAAAATGTCTTATCTTCATAGGCGCAACTAGAGGTTCCACGGGTCTTTAACACCCTCAAGTTTAAAATTAACATCCCCAAAAATACCCATCAAACATTTTCATAGTATCGAATAAATATTTTATCCGTGTAATAAGCAGAACAAAACACAGGCTACCTACAGGCAGTTCATGTGTGTATAAAAATTAATTTAAAAAAGTTATGATACATTTTGTTATAAACAACTGTAAATGATATCCGTAGTTGCTTATTATAAGTGTCGTGTAACGGAGATTATTAGAGCATTGTCCCCAAGGCTCCGTGATGTGTATATAATTTTAACACCTATTGTCCGTCTTAGTATACAAAATACAAAAATAAAGGATTTACTTAACTAGACATTCCCCGTGTTCGTAAGTAATTTTCAAATTGTTTTATTTATGATTTTTTCCCCGCTGTTCCATAAACCCTTTGAAATTAATTTTTAGTGGTTTTTTACCGTTTATTAGGTCGAATACCTCATTGTTGACAATTTGTTGGAATTTACAGCTTCTCTAACTCTGTATTGGGGTCGTAAGACGTATGATTTTGTATACAACAATATACTACGATGATTGTGTAATTCGCTGGAACTCGTGAAAACCGTCCGCCGATTTTCACTCGGAATAATACAGAATATTATGCAGATTGCCGGATCCGGGTTGTCGAAAACGAACGAACGAGTGCGCGCGGGCGATATATTCCGACACGGGCAACAGTGGCGGCGCGGCGGTTACGGACAAACGCACCGACGACGACGATGCGACGACGGACCGCAACGCTGTCGATGTCTTAATTTACGATATACGTCGGCGGCGGTGTCGGCGCGTGATAAATTACACCGGATGGACGATAAAAAAAAAAAAAGGAAAGAAAAAAAGAAGTAAATAAAATGTAAAATATAAAACGTGTATCCGCACGACTAATATTATTATACGCGCGCGACGAGGACAATCGTCGTTGTCGCAGTCCTTCTCTTCCCTCCTCTTTCCCCTGCAGTGTGCGAGTGTGGAAATGCAATTACCGTCGTTGTCGTAAAAAAATGTACACACACACACACACACATACCACATCACGCGTGCCCCAGTGTAAGTCGTCCAGAGAGATAAGGTCTGGTGACCGTCTATATATGGATATCGGCGAGTATTACGAGTAGA